AAGAGTAGAAGAATATTCTAGTAACCTTTAGTTGCAGTGAAAGGAAGATCGCAAGTTTCTACTTTTGTACAATCATGAGTTTGTTTTCAGTATCGCTGGAGATCTACAAAATATGAACAGACATTGGAATATGGATCGCGTTTTCCAGGAAACGAGGAAAATTGTAGGAGCAATTTTGCAGGTCAGCCCACTGTTTGAACTTTTTCAATTCCACAAAAACTAATAAATTCCTCCTTTTGTAAAAGTTTCAGGTGATAACATATCAAGAATTCCTTCCAGCACTAATCGGACCATTTTTCAACAGGCTTGTTCCGCCCTACGCTAGGTAAATTTTGGATCCTCTTGTTGCCCCTTTTGCCACAAAACTCAAATGGTTTAGGACTTCACAAACTTTATTCGGATATGCACATGAAATTTAGGTACAACCCATCCATTAATCCTGGAATATTAAACGAGTTCGCTGCAGCAGCTTACAGACTTCATGGAATGATTCAAGTGCGCCAATGATAGAAGATCTTACATTTAGATGTCATTTTGCATTTGAACCAGTATTTCTCAAATACCTTTTACCTTCACATTTAACATTTTAGGAAGGTTATCCACTGATAGGTCCCAGCTTTGAGAACATTGGTCAAGTGTCTTTCATCAGTGGAGTCGGAAGAATCGAGCAAGTTCTGACAGCTATCGACGCAATGTACCGGTCAGTTGCACGTAACAGAAGAGTTTGAGGATCTCAGACTTGTGAAATTTCTCTTGATATTATTGTATTTGTTGTTAATTTCGCCCTTACAACCGAAAAAAATTCTAAGAAACCGGAAAAAAAAAGTTTAGAAACGTAAAAAAATACATATACACGTATAGTGCTTTATATATAATTTAAAAGAGCAGATGTTCCTCTATAACATAGCCTGCTTCGCTTATTCATTGATTGTGTTCCTCTACAATTTTAAATGGTTGCGATTGGAATCTCAAGACCGAAAGCTCAACCGAAAGTTTAGTTTTTCTTTTTGGAATGCATTCTCGTGAAAGAGCGGATATACTGATTACGAAACTCATATTCGTTCGCCATGAAAGGGTCAGTGGGTATACAATTCGGAGACTAGAATTACGAATTTCATAAAAGTGTCCGAGAGGCTTTATCGGCGAGCACAAAAATCATAATCACACCCCCAATAAAGTGTCAATGGAGAACTATGATAAATACTATGGATGGAAAGGTCAAACCTGACGCTTAAAAAGGAAGTTAAATAACTTTTATCAGCCTTCAAGGGGAATGAATATGATTTCTTAATCAGTATGTCAATAAACTCCAAATTTTCGTAAGCTGCCAAAACTTCCGTTTCTTAAGGATTTATTTTTAATGGAAAAAAACAGCACGAACTTTTTCGACCGAAAGCGCGAAGGTTGTTTGTATATATGTGTGTCTCTTTTCTCTCACCTCACAAAATTAGCTCACTTGACCTAGGGAAATCAAACAGCACTTATCAGCGGTTATCATCTTAACCGCAGAACACTAAGTAAATATGAGCATTTTTGTCGGGAAGAACGCGGTAAGTTGGTTGTTCATTTGATGTTGCTATGGGGAGACACAGCAGTGGCATCAAATGGCCTCTGTGCCTTTTTCTTTCAAATGGCGTTAAAAAGTGAGATCAAACTTTCAAACCTTTTGCACAAAAGCGCGTGTGATGGTTTTGAATAGAAATTATGAGAACTTTTAGTTAACGAAAAAAACAAGAAGTTCAGTGCTTTGGTGCACGAACAGTATATATATATATATATATATATATATATATATATATATATATATATATATACCAG